ATGCAGCTCGACCAGTGTACTCAATCCACAACACTGAAGGGTTTTTCCTTGTTAACTAACACTATGTTTATTTTTCAGTATCTTCCAAAAGAGCCTGTCACTAGATATAATTCATTTGAATAAAATAATTAAAAATAAATCCAAAGTCTGCCCTCCTTTGGGGGCCTAATATTATTATAAACCCTTAGTGTGACAATGTATTTATTGCTCTATCTGGAGGGCCCAGGGGCTGGGGAACTGGAGAATCTACCACAGTGAGGAGAGCAGTCATAGGACTACAAATTTAGGGAGCAATAATGTTGAAATAGTAATACACGAAACAAACAACTGCAAACATTTTCTTAAGAGGACTCAACTCGTGGAAGAAAAACTTTTAATTGCTGTTGCAAAAAAAAAATCTGTATGAAGTAGAGATTTGTTTCAGTGACAGTCATTCGGAGAGTGTTCTAGAAACCGGAGGTAACTGGAGGTGCACTTCTGGCAGCAATGGAATAGAACAGTCCCAGATGGTTTGGCTGAGGCCAACGCCTAATGAGGACGAAAGCCTTGTCTGTGGGGAATTTTGGGTGATACCTGGAGAAATATACTGTGCATAAACCAAACTGAATTGTTTTCACAAGTGTTGTAAAGTTTCATACAGTAAAAGTTTTTTTCTACATGCACTTCAATTTCACAGCAAGAGTGGCATAGAATACCTAAACACAGAAGAGAGCATTCATGCAAGATATCTAACTCCTTGATATAATAACGCATACAATTCAAAATGATTACACTATGATTACATCTCGGGCTTTCTGCAACTACACGGTGGTGGCGATGGGCAGCACGGCCCCCGGGATCAGGATCTAGAAAGCAGCCACCACCTTCTTCTATGTGTGTTTTCTTTTTGCGTTTTTTCTTCATATTTCTTAATCAACTCTGCTGCTGTTGCTCCTTCTTAGCAAAACTGGTAAAAACAAAGTTGTAATCACTGAACATAGCACTCTGGCAATCAAGACGTTTAAAACCTTCAATCTTCTGGGGCGAAGAAAGCACTGTGCGACATTTAGAACTCTGGAGAAAAATATACAGAATCATTAGTGCCTCAAATCTGCTAGTTCTTTTCATACAGAATAACCTTTAGTTTGCCTTTCGATAACGTTTTTGACAACTCAGCAAAACATGGCACAAAGTCAAGTTTCTCTGTGTGCACCATTTGTGACCCTGATTACATTCTCACCCTGTTTCGAAGTTGTTCCTTAGATCTGACTTTTAGCAGACAGGTGGCGCAGTGGTTACGAGTTGGGCTGCTAACTGCAAGGTGAGCAGTGCAAAATCACCAGCCGCTCTGAAGGAGAAAGTTGGAGCTTTCTATTGCTTACCTATAGTCACTGTGAATTGGAATCACCTCAATGGGTTTGGTGGGGGGTGGGGGCTTTTCCCTAAGACTAGCTGACATTTTGAGCTGTTGTTGTTACTTACAGTTCTCACATATTGTTCTCAAAAAGCATTAAGCTAAAGCCAGATTTTAAAAAACTAGTTAAACTAATACTGTTTGGATTTAAGATTAACCGTCTAGGGATTTTTAAGATTATCAGGCTGATAGTTTCAAGAGTTCAACTGGCCTTCAATGGTCACAGAAAGCCTGGATGTTACACAGTAACTTTAAATTACCCTCTCTTTGAGCACGAGTCTTCTAACGGTTCATTCCTTACTTCCCCTTCTTCCTCTTTTGCTCAATTGCTGTGTCTTGGATGGTAGCTTGCAAGCTTTTAAGACTCCAGGCCCTATGCACACCAGAACTGAGGGGTAGGACAGAGCACTAACCTTGTTATTGGGCTATTAACTGGGATGTCTCATGAAATTATTA